GTACATAAAGGTATTTATCCTCTTAAGAAGGAAGATACTTTAATTAAAACATTGTCTTGTAAATAACCACCCCAATTCAATCATGATAGGGAATGTCTGGAGACAGCATGAAATCTGTTTCTCATGGCTTCTCCAGCAGCCTTTATTAGTGAGGAAACACAAAGCCTTATTTTTCCAGCCAGGATTTCTTCAGGGATTAGAGGAGGCATGCCACTTGACAGCCATTTTCCTTATCTCCCACCAGTTTACCCTTCTGTTTTGCTAAGAGCCCGGAGCACTTCATCCAGATTAACTCTGTCTCGTTGGAGCAATGCCTCTTCTCAACTGCTACGGGCACTTCCTCGGCGCAGCACACAGCCCTGGGAAAAGGAGCAAGCCTCCAGGCTCTGACCCCACAGACACAAATACAGCCCGGATCGTAGGGCAGATACCGGATCAGGATGGTAGGGCAGATACCGGATCACCGTACCGTCCACTTCCGAGCTTGGCTGAAAGCTGTGCTCTCTGGTCGTTCTCTCTCCCTCCACTGCTGTCATGTTTTTTTCCGTTCCCAAGCCTTGATTTAAGTAGAACTGAAAATGCAAATAGCTGTATCTGAAGCAAGGAACAGCAAAAACTCAAGAAAAATACATCGCCCCTGCTCTGTTGCTCCAGATTAGCAACCCACCTCTGCTTAGCAGTACTTGCATGTATACTTACGCATATGATTAATTTCCATTTACACGAGCACATGTTTAAATACTTTGGCAAACCAGATGAGCATGAGCACGTGATTAAACGTTTGTTGAATTAAGGCCTACGGAAAAGTCCCTTATCAAAACCGCTCAACAGCCACCAACTGCACTGCCTCATCTGCTCGTTTTTGCATATTCTAATTTATTTATTCTCACTACTTTCCAAAACAAAGCAGTTCCACTGCACAAACCTACCATGGTAGGGAGAACAAATCCACCATTGCTTAGACTAGTTAGGCTGGTATATGTACTTCGACTAGTTAGGCTGGTATATGTTGGGTACAATACAGCGGCCAAAAGCACAGTCAGGCTGCTCGTTCTCATTCAGAACTCGTCACTATGGGCTGGAACCACAATCACATGGAAACGTTCTCCTTTGGGCTCTTCACTGTACAAGACAACACCACGTCAGGGCAACAAAATAAATATTGCTCTCCCTGTCACATCTCACCACTCAGCTAAACCAGCAATTTAAATGCCAGGTTCATTTTCTATCCCAGTTTGCACTTTGTTAGTCCTATTTTGTACCATTTCCAGTCACTGTGTGTGGTATTCTCACAGTCTATCTCCAGCAACACGGCAAACTGTTTTCAAAGCCAATGCTCAGATTTTCAAGATAAATACAAGCAAACACAAGGCCACGTATGGATAATTTTGTTAATGGTAACAACAAATAAAAACCAAAGACACCAAGCCATTAAAATTAAAGTAAAAAAATCCTTTCTCTGCACAATGGTTCATCATTTCCTTCTCAAGTAATTTTTCCAAAACAAATCCAAACTTGCTGCTTTCCCAACGCCATGTGAATAGGCCAGATGGCAATGTAAAAGGCCGATGGAAAAATCACCTGACAGCATGAAGTGCCCTCAGATTTTCCAACATCACCGTGCATTTAGAAGCTGAACATCATGTGATGAACAGCCTTAAATATTGTGGGACAAGCCTTCAAACCTACCTTAAAAATATACCCTGAAGATAGTGTGCTTCTGACACTGTTCTGGAACTAAATGTTTACTCAAGTGAAGAGGCCACATGATGGAACACCTCCCAGCACGAAGAAAAAGAATACAGAGTTAAGCAGTTGTAACGCAAATATTTCACAACCCTCCTGAAAGAAAAACCATAGACCTAAGGACACACATTTTCCAGCCACAATCTAAAGCAAAGTATCTCCTGAAAACAGCAAATTGCACAGGCAAACCTGTGTCTTTTTCAGTGTGACCTCTTCTATAGCAGCAGCCAATTAATGCTCTAAACCCAACTATTCTAATTATTGTTGCTCTGACACCATCCCTCTTCTGCCCAACACTAACACACATATTTTAAACGTCCAGAATAAGCTGCCACCAGCAATAGCACGTCTAACTTCACTTCTTGCAAGTGCAGGCCTCCTCATAGTTGGACCGAGCTAGTCCAAAAATTAAAGGTAGAAGAACTCCAGGAAATCGGTAGCCTTCAAAATACGATCACAATATCCAGGTGGGACATATTTGTGTCTGTATTTTAAACATAATTCCTAAATCCATGTTCAAACACCCACACGTGTGCTCCAGTCCCCCTAAACCTGATCATTAAGGTAGGTATCTTAACTTGTAGTATTTTCTGTCAAAACACTGAATCTATGTATTCCTCTGGACAACACAAAAAGCTGTCGGTGATTTCCGATACGCCTGCCTGCAAAGACGCTTCCCCACGGGCCGCTCCGTCCCTTTCAGCCAGGCCTGGAGGTGACCAAGGGAGAGAAACAGGGATCCTAGCAAGCAAGTAATCTTCTCATTTTTATGGAAAGCTTCTGCTTAAAAAAAAAAAAGTTATCTCATTTTGGTATTTGTATAAAAAAATCATCTTTATTCTGGGGAGGCAGGGAGCTGAGGGCAGGTTCTGAGGTCGCTGCTGATGCTGAGCAGGAGAAGGGTGTGAGGTGCCCTGCGGGCATTTCAGAACAGCTACCTCCTGCCCCTGCGAACCCTTTCACTTCCCCCTCTAGCAGACTTGTGTCAAACAGACCTAACAATGCCACCTTGGATATCAATACCAGCTTTTTCCCCGGCATTTTTAACCAAAATGGGGAGTCTCCCAGAAGGGAGATGCCACAGAGAAGGAAAATGAAAAGAAGAGCAGGAGGCAGGAGAGGCAGCAGGGCGAGAAATGACAACTGAAACCATGGCAGAAGCATAGAGACAACTGGATATTAACAAAGCACGGCACCAATAGCCACTCTGAAGTTAAGTTTCACAATAAAAACATGTTTTTACATTTTTTTCTTTGTACAACTTGCAGAAAATTTCCTAAAGACGGCAGTGGGCTTATTCCCAGTGGTCTGATAAGCCACCGTTCTTCAACTGTACATACTCAGCTGGGTCTTGCCAGAGCACTGTTGGGAAGGTCCTGCAGACGGACGGAGTGGTCTGGTAGCCACTTAAGCAGATTCAATATTATCAAGCCAAGTAATTAAATAAGGAGAATCATATTGTACAGCCTGAATGAGGAGCTCTGCAAATAGAACATTCACCCCCCTGCTCTGCCAGCTGCAACCTCCAGCTCATTTTTTAAACCACCTCCTGTGAAGGATCCTTGTGCAAGACTACCACGGGTAAAGAAATTTCTAAAGGACTTCCAAGCTAAAGCAATTTTGGAGGACAAAGTGAAAGGCAATTCATGAAAGTTTCCAGACAAAGAGCAGACCTATCTTTTAATTTTTTTTACGAAAAATTATGCAATACTGACAAGGGGGTGCTAAATCTCCTCCTCCTCCTCCTCCTCTTCACTGCTTGCTTGGAGGGTGTTACTGCTGGCTGGCGGTTCCTGCACGCAGAGACCAGATGGCAGAATGGTTTTCATCCTCCACTAATTCTTGACCTTTCTTAGGCTGCCAGCAGGCCGGCCAGTGAGCACCAGATGTGCCAGCATTTTATGCAGGCACCGTGTCCACTGAATCCACGCACAACCCAACAGCAAGGTGCCCCTTTCTCTGGAGTCACCTGAGGCTGAACCCTATCCAGATTTCTTACTTTCGTGCCAGTCAAAACAAACACAAAGCCAGCAAGTGGCCTTTCTCTCCAGACACAGATTCATACCACACATTTAAATGCAGTGAATATTTTAAATCCTTTTATAAACACAGGTTAATGCAATGCTTCTGAAAAGATGAAGGAATGCTGTCATTAAGAGAGGAGCTGTCTTATAAAGTTAGATTGCAGAAAATGCTTTTAAAATTTATTATCCACATTACTTTCCTCTCTGTAAAATCTTTTAAAATCAGACTGAGATAAATGAAAGTGTACTCTGTAATCAAGGTTTGCATTGTATCTTCCTCTCTGTAAAATCTTTTTAAATCAGACTGAGATAAATGAAAATGTACTCTGTAATCAAGGTTTGCATTGTATAATAAACCGAAAGTTACCCTTGTTCTTTTCTAGTGAGTACAGAAGTAAATGTTTGAAATGTTGATGGCTTAAAATAAATTATTACACTGTTATTGGAAGTTCTAGTGCGTACGGAAGTAAATGTTTGAAATGTTGATGGTTTAAAATAAATTATTACACTGTTATTGGAAAAATCAGACCTTCTATCACACCCTCCTGCAGTTAGAAAACACAAAGAAGGTTCTGCCAATACGCAGCATAATACAACAAGATTAAAGACAACCAACTGCCTGGATTTAAACTATTCAAGACTCCTGTATTTAAAAACAAAACAAATGGAAAAATCAACAGATCCAGTTTCCAAGCAATGTACTCCATATCTGTAAATCTCTCTGCGTATCAAACAGCAGCATGTCAACTTGATTAAACTGCACTGCAATATTTTTAGCATGTGATGTACTGACCAACTCGTGATTTTGGTTACTGCGCTTCAAAGGAAGAAGAAAACAAAAAGCGTCCCATGACCAGCTTCAGCAGAGTTATTCAGGGTAAGCAGTGTCCCAGTGCAAAAATGCTATCTTGGATATAGACAGACTTTTTTTATGAAAGACTATTCTACGCAATTAAGGGTTGACCAAACTTTTTTCCTTGTTGTTTCATTTTACAGCCCATCAGAGCCGAGTCCCTGTCCCTGTTTCGAGCTCCTTGTTAAACACCCATGTAGCAGAAATGTGAATGAACGCCACGACACGCTGAGGAGTGCCTCTGGAGTGCCGTCTTTCCCCCTCTTTCAGATTTATCAAGAGGGGCATGGTACAAGTCATTTCGCAAAGAAAAACATTCACCTTTTTTCTTCATATACTAAATGACAGTGTAAGTAATTTCAGAATTTCATACTTACTCCATCATAGACGGTGGAATTGTGCAGCAGTCTTGGATCGCAGTCAAGGGCGACGTGAGGTGAGCAGTATACGATGCTTCCACTACTTGCTTGTTACGGTTCACAACATCCAAGTAACGGTTAAACTTCTCACGAATTTTTTTTGCCAACTGAAAAAAAAAATAAGAAGAAAGATGAAAATGAAGCCAGTTTCTCTGATTACCAGGTTCCTTATTAAACAAACTCCAATTGTAAGGAAAAATTGCGAGTGTTAAAGGTAAGTGTTGTCTGCTTTGCTCGTTGTACTTCTATTTTGGTGGCTTAAGTGCTGTGAAGTCAAGTAATTAAAAGTATTTGCCAAAGAACACAGTCTACAAAAAGATAAAATACATTTACCATCTAGCAATGAGTACCTGAAGTTTTGCATGAATGAAAAGTGAAATTTCCCTTCTACAAATTTCCCTTTCGTTAGGAACTGACACCTGGACGTGACTCTACCCATGCTACTGCCTTACCACTGAAGCTCTCCAACATGATGCTCTTGCAAGGCCTGGCAAGGATATGATGGAGACTCAAAACAATGTGCCATAAGTCAATTTAAAGAAGCTATATAAATGGAAACCCAAGGAAAGCCCAAATAACACTATCACAGACGACCTCACCTACAGAGGAACCTCTTACTGCTTCAGGAGGCAAGAGCTAACAGTACATCTGCCAGGGCACTGAACCTATTTCAGGGAACAAGCTCAGGGTCCAGGCGACCCCGAACACTGCCACGCGTTATCTCTTCATCAGCAGCCTCAGCAGCCAGGTGGATCCATGCGGAAGCATTTCACAGCTCCTTTCATGCCATTCTCCTCATTGTGATTTGTGCAAAACAAGCCACCCCACTTCTTGATTTTTTCTTTGTACCTCCTGCTGCTTTCCTGGGGGGCACCACGGGCTCTTAGCTGAGCATCTTCCAAGTGCTTTTCTTAATCATTCTAGCAGCTCACTGTGGCTAGTCATAAGCTACAACAGCTTAACTACAGACTTCAAACAACGACAAAATGAAAACTATGCCATTGACCTTAGAACAGAACAAAAATAACGACGACTGTCTCACAGGTGAAATTCTTCCCCAAGAGGGTCCCTCTGACGACGGCAGCCAGTTATAAATCAGGACAAGGTTTAGAGGTTACACTGTTACTTGTAAGAGCAGACGATTGGTATTCCTCTCTTTTCAGAAAGTGAAAACAAACAGACTGTCAGCCCTCCCCAGCAATTCTCAGGCCTTTAAAAAAAAAAAAAAAAAAAAAAATCAAGTGGCCTCACTTCAGAAAATTTAAATATTTCTTAATATAAAAAAATGATTTTAAAAAAATTGAGACAACATTTTTTTGCAAACAAATGCTTCTGAGCCCTGCATCAGGGCTCGCTGGTGTGCGACGCAAAGGCACGGTCATGTCCGTGCCTTCTGCAGGCAGAGCCCCGCGCTCCCTCCGAGCCGGGCAGATTCCAAGTGTCGGAAGGCGGCCGGGGTTCAGGAGGGTAGAGCCTGCTGGGACACATCACAGGCCTGTGGATAAGAGCTCGCTTGTGTCTAGTTCATCAGGCACTTCACAACGAGCCTGACTAATGACTTTGCAGGGGAAAATTGAAAGGGAAAAATTTGTGGCTGTTATTTGAGCAAACGTGGCTGTCAACACAGTGACTAGGAAGCACCAGGTTTTACAAGAAACATTTACTGAGACTTTTGCTCCTAGTCTTTCACGCAAAGTGAGAAATTCATTAAATGGATCAGGCACATACAAGATTTGCTCTGGCACATTCGGTATCCTTTTCGCATCAACCTACTTGTTACACTTCATCATCGGCCAAACGCACCCTAAGTGAAAGAGAATAATCTCTAAGCAATACGCTGAGGCACGGAATATGCAGAAATACCGTACTTTGCATTTCTGCAAACTTTTTTCAGAGCTGAAGTTAGCTCGTTCATTCACAGCACTCATCTCTCCTGCTCCCTGCACGCTCCAAACTCTGCAGGCACGATTTTAAGATGCCGCTGCGTTTGCGTGCTGAGAAACGCAGTCAGTTGCTCCAGATCCTCTGGACTAACAAATGGCTTTCCTAACTATTATTAACAGGACATTTAATCATGATTTACTTCGTTATGCGAACAACGAGGCCCACACTGATAACCGCATCGCCTTTGCCTCCATTGTTCCCAGCAAATGCTGCAGCTCAGTGACAGGTCTCCTAGGAGGTTTTAACAGGACCTTGCTCAAATGACTTGCAGAATTATACCTAATTAGTTTTGTAGAATGATTTATTGCCAAGGCACCAGAGGACTAACTAATGGTCTCCTCCACGTAAGGCATCCAACACTAATTGCTCCCGTTAGATAACAGATCTAGTTGTGAGATAATAAGCTGCTGGGTAGTCCCTTTTCTATTTTCCAGTAAACTTTCTTTTTGTCTGACTGTACTACTCAAACATGTCCCCGAGAAATGTATTTTTGTGGAGGGTCACAAACATACGCAAAACAAATTTCCTAAATTGAAGCATTTAAGTTTCATGGTTACAAAATTCCTCTCTCAGTTTGGGCAAACAAAATACCCGGGCTTAAGTGCTACATAAACCAGACACTTGAATCTATTACACTTCTTTCTCGGTTTTCCTACCTGAAATCATGAAAAGGGGAGAGAGCTTCAGTTTGCTGAAAGAAAGGACCGCACGATCATCCTTACAGTAACAAAACTAACATGGAGCATCAGAGCAAAAGGACTTTCGTTAGGAATCACCGCTTCTGTCTGATAAACGAATGCTGTACAAGATGAGCTTTCGGTATTGATGAGTTTTCACCTTCCAGGTTGAATGGTAAAAACATCTCACAGCCTTTGAATTTCACCCTGCTGTGCGGAGTCTGAAGATCTGACAAAGCTGTTTTTCAGAAAAGCCTGCACCTCAGAAGCTGATAAAAAGCAAATGCTTAGTACATAAACTGCATCTCCCGTCGAAAAACCTCTGAACAGCTCAAAGTCATTACACTGCTTTTATTAAACGGGCTCCAACACCTCAGTCGGGGCAGGGAGTCAAGTGCACATCAGCAGCAAAGGGACCTGAAGCCTCCCAAAGCTACACAGACATCAACCCCCTGCCCGCAGACACGAGCACAGTTGGAAGAACTGAGTTTGTCTAATCTGAAGAACCCAACAAATGCTGCCCTCTGATACCAAGAGAATACGCCAAACAACTAAAACCACTTTAAAAAACAGCTAACTCCACCAATTCCAAGAAGATCCTAAAGAAATCTTCCATTGAAAATTGATTACAAGGAATAAACCATGTTAAGAACCGGAGGGTAACACACCAATCCGCTGAAAAATCACTAAACCCAAAGGGTTCTAACTCATCAAATCAAGCAGTATAATCCAGATGAAGCCTAACAAAACTAACTTCATTTTTTCTTCCATAGTTGGGCTTCAGTGGAGCGCAAAAACCCATGACAGTGAACAGGCATTCCAGCTCTTGGTGATTAAAACAACAGCAAAAAATGATCCCTACTTCCCAGCTCCTCATCTGAGCCGGCGTGCCCATGCATGCATGCACGCTCGCATCGTTAGCTCAGAAACATCGCTCAGCTTGCACAGCGATGCGCTCCGCTGCTAGAGCCTGTCAGAATACAAGCTGCAGGCTTAAATCAGCTTCTCATTTTTCTAAATAAAAAACTAAAATCTCTACCCAAAAGAGCTGTATTTTTTCCCAACATATACCCTGCTTTTTTTCGCCCGCCCAGAGTTGAATAGCCATCGCTTACTGATGGATGCAAGACTCACACCACAGCGGTGACAAAACCGCAAAGGTGCAGAAAGAAAGAGATAACACATAATGGAAGGACAGAGCACTGAACTACGAAACCATCCCAACATAATTTTTTAAAACGTTTTTAAGGCAAAATGGAAAACTGTCCACCAAATCAGGCAGATAAGAAGGGCAGGTAGCCGACATGCCATGCTGGGGTATGCCCTTGGGTGGGTACCGAGTGTGACAGACGTCTCCTGCTCCCACAGAAATGCTCAAATTCACCCATTTTCACGGAGACTGAAATAAATCTGGATACCTTGAGATTGACATAAAATGCTGTTATCCTCGGGTCAATTCGCTGAGTGCTCTTCACCTCATTTTAAAAACAAACGGCGGGTGGAGGGGGAAGCCTCCCTTGGCATTCCTCTCATCTTTTTTCAGATCTCTATTTTCTCCTTCATTTTAAGGAGCCAAATAACAAGCGATGAGTGCTCACCCCGAACAACGCAGCCATGAGCTCTGTTTTTTTTCCATTTTTCCCCCCTGTATTTTCTCCGGCCGCTGGCGTGCAGCCAGCGCGTTCCGGCTCGCAGACAGGTTGGACGGTAACACCTGTTCCCATTACCGCGGCACCCCTGGGTAACGCACTTCGGTTGTCACCATCTCCACTGACAACCTTTCATCACGACATCAGTGAGCTCCTCATTTTCCCAGAGACATTGCCCTCATTTGCATAGTTCCCTCGAGCTTTTTTTTTTTTCCTCTTTTTTTTTTAACGCTTCGTTCCCCCTCAAAGCTCCACAGCTCTGAAGTCTTCCCTTTTCAGGGAGCGCTGAGGGAAAGCAGAGCTCCAAGGTTAGGTTTTATTTCTGGCAGCATCTTGAAAGCCAAGGTATTTTTAATGTTTTCAAGAAGGTATATAAAATATGTATCAATGAGGTCGACAGGCACGAATGTCATAACGGACTCACGGCTGGGGATTTAACAGTGCCAGGCTCGTCCAAAAATATTGCTTATACATTGCAGAGTTGAGTTAGTATTTTTATTTTTAAATCCTCTGTGAACCAGAAGAACCTGGAACAAAACCACCTGTCTCCAACACCCGGCCAGGCACTCCTCCCGCTGTGCCACACCTGAACACTACCACGCACCCAGAGATTCCTACTCCAAAAAAGTTTTAATATATTTATCCGTAATCTGCTTGGGTCTTGAAGAATCCAGTGCTTCTGTACAAACCCAGCAGAACACAGAGGTCAGAGGGACGTGGCTTGAGAAACGATCGTAGAACCACCACCAGCTTCTTCCCACCACATCTCTGCTGTAACAGATCCAAGCCATCCCTACTCCCCTGGATGACGCTGGAAAGATACCCTCCAGCATTCAG